GCGGAGCAAAATTAAAGAACTGTGGCAAGCCTATACCGGGGTCTCCCAACCAGGAGCTGACCCGGAGGCCTGCCCGCAGTTCAAGGCCCTGGACTGCATCCCGGGGGGTCAGATGGTCCGTGCCTCCCTGGGTGTCATTGACCCTGGGGCAGAGGGCCCTGCCCCTGACACGGGAAGAAGAGGACGACGGCAGCCAGGAGCCTGCAGGGAGCGTGCCCTGCACCCAGGACTCCTGAGCCAAACCGGAGAGCCCGTCAGCAGCCTCATCCAAGGCTGGGGAGGCCTCCACATGTGAGTGACATCACGGTCCCTTTAGGCGGGGCGGAAGGGGGGGAAGGGGAGCCAAGGGACTGTGAGAGTCAGTTTTGATGACCCTGGAGTAGGTGGCAACCTGTGCATCTGCTGTGCTATCCAGGACATGTGGCCCCAGCTGGGTGCCATGCAGGGGCCCTGGCCTGTTCCCCACACGCATCTGTGTGAAGACCCCAGGGAGAGAGACTGCACATGTGCCCTGCCTCTGTGTTGAGGGGGGTGTCTGGAGGGAGGGCAAAGTCTCCTCCTGCTCCTCCTCCCCCCCCCCCACAGCACGGGGGTTGGGGTGCAGTCCTGGGCCAGCTCACGCTCCTAGGGATAGCAGGACATAATAGTACAGAGACCTGCTGTCCTCGCCTTGCAGTGGGGGGCTGGGTTTCACCCGGTGTGTCTCCAGGGGAGAAATGACCACTTCTCTTGTTTCACCGCAGCACCTGAGAGTGCAGGACGCACCATCCCGCCTGGACCATCCACCCACGCCTGGGCCAGCAGGCGCACCCACAACCAGGAGGAGTTCCAGAGGTAGCAGCTGCGGTTACAGGGACGGCAGGTCCACAACCAGGAGCAGTGGGTGCAAGAAGACCTGCGGTGGGTGGAGGAAGACCTGTAGCTGCGGCGGGAGAGCTTGTGGGAGCAGGGCCGTGCCTTCCGTGAGCACCTGCAGGACCTGGTGGACTGATTGCTGCCTCCTGTTGCTCCAGCCCTGCGGCCACCCCAAGTATCGCTCATCCTTCCACCCCTGCTCCCCCTCCTGCTTCTTCTGCCCCTCCCCCCCCCCCCGGCCCCCCCTTCCCCTTCCTCCCCCCCCCCCGTCCTTCCTCCCCCACACTCCATACCCACTCCCCCCCCGACGCCCCTGCACCTGCAGTGCTGCGAGACGGGAGAGCCAGCAAGACCCCAAACCCTGAGCTTTCCCTTCCCTTCCTCCCCTTGCCTCCCCCTTCCAGCTCCCTCCTCCCATGTTTCCCCCTCCCCGTTCCCACTCTCATTCTCCCCTACCCTCACCTCAGTTCTGTAAAATAAACAGACATATTTGTTGGCAAAACAGGTGTGTTTATTTTACATTAGGAAGGGCGGTTAGGGAGGGGAAAGGGGAAGGAGGTGAGAGTGGAAGAAGGCCGCAGTGGGGCATGCCAGTGAGTTCAATCCTCCTCCACCTGGAAGCTCTCCTGCAGGGCTTCCCAGATCCAGATGGCCCCCCGCTGGGCTTCCCGGACAGCATCGGTGCGGGGCTACACGTACAGGCCAGCCAAGTGTTCCTCCTAAGGCATCCAGGCTGGCAGGAAAGCCTCCCCCTTCCTCTCTCATAAATTGTGGAGCACACAACCCGCTGCCACCATGTGCAGAATATTGTGCTGGGAGAGGTTGAGGTGGGTGAGGAGGCATCTAAATTGTGTTTTCAGTCGGCCCGCGGGCCCTTCTGAGCCTGGCATTGAAGGCCTGCCAGGAGTGGTTGAGGTGTCCCGTGTAGGGCTTCATCAGCCAGGGCTGTAAAGGGTAGGCCCCCTACATCCCTTTTATGAAGGGGATGGTTTGATGAGGTAACATGATCTTGGCAATTAATTGACCTTTCACTGTCACTGGTAAATAGGCCAATGGTGGGAAGATACGAGTTGCTATAGAGAACTTTTTTCTGGGTGTCTGGTGTCTGGTTGGTGAGTCTTGCCCATGCTCAGGGTTTAGCTGATTGCCATATTTGGGGTCAGGAAGGAATTTTCCTCCAGGGTAGATTGGCAGAGGCCCTGGAGGTTTTTCGCCTTCCTCTGTAGCATGGGGCATGGGTCACTAGCGGGAAGATTCTGTGCATCTTGGCGTCTTTGAACCATCATTTCAAGGACTTCAATATCTGAGATATAGGTGAGAGGATTATTCTAGGAGGGGGTGGGCGAGATTCTGTGGCCTGCATTGTGCAGGGGGTCAGACTAGATGATCAAAATGGTCCCTTCTGACGTTAAAGTCTATGAATCTGAGGCCCCATCCCCCACCAGGCACACTGGCATGTCTATGTCCTCGACCCTGATGCGGTGGTGGGGGAAGAAAGTCCCGGCGTGCAGTCTCCGGCACACGGAGGAGTTGCGGTACACCCGCACGTTGTGTGCCTTACCGGACCAGTCCACATTGATGTCTGTGAACTGGCCCCGGTGGGCAGACATGGCCTGCAGGATCACAGAGAAGTACCCCTTCCTGTTGATGTAGAGGGAGGCCTGGTAGTCCAGGGCACGGATGGGGATGTGTATCCCATCGATTGCCCCCTCCCCCACAGTTGGGGAAGCCCAGGGTGCCGAACCGCTGGATGACTGCGTCAGGGTTGGTGAGCCGGATGACTCTGCAGAGCAGCACCCTGTTGATGGCCTTCACCACCTGCAGAGAGAGAGACAAAACTGAGGGTCACTGGGGTGCCCGGGTGGCTGGGAGTGTTAGTTCCCTGCCACTGCCCAGCGTCCCACTCCCAGGAGCAACCCCTGCTGCAATCCTGGCCACCGTGGGCGGTCTGAAGCACAGCTGGGACAGACCAAACCCTCCTGGAAAGGGCACTTATGCCACCTCCTCCCTATTTTCCCAGGGGCAGCCCATGTCCTCCTTACAGCCCCCCCCCTCCTGGCCCAGTGCTGGTGAGTGCCGTACCTGCATGAGCACCGCTCCGACAGTGGATCTTCCCACACCGAACTGGTTTCCCACAGATCGGTAACTGTCTGGCGTGGAGAGCTTCCAGAGGGCGATGGCCACCCGCTAGTGGAGAGGAATGGCAGGCCTCATGCGTGTCCCCCATCGCCACAGAGCAGGGGTGAGCCACTCATAGTGCTTGAGGAAGGTGTCCTCCTTCATCCTGAAGTTCTGGGTCCACTGTTGGTCTCCCCAGCGCTACAGGATGATGTGGTCCCACCAGTTGCTGCTGGTGTCCAGATGCCAGATGTGGCAGGACACGCTGGCACAGGGCAGGGGGAGGACCAGGGAGCTGGCCTGCAGCTTAAGGTGCCAGGCAGCCTCCAGCAATTGATGCCAGGCTTGCAGCAAGATGTTCAACATGAGCACCCGAGTGCCCAGGGGTGGCTCTGGCTCCATGGTGCTGAGTACTGTGGGGTCCCAAATGAGAGCGACCAAAGCAGGTGGAGAGGAAAACACTTTGCTGTCCCTCAGCGAGGTAGGCAAGCAAGCAGGAAAGCTGAGAACCGGCTGTCCGGGGGGGAGGGGGAGGGAGGGTCCCTTTAAGCACGAGCCTTAGATGGCCTCCGACAGCAGCCACACATAGCAACTACTGACCTGATGCCCTGCTGGAAACAGTTTCAGCTGCGATCCAGCATCCAATCAGTGTGGATGTGCTATTTCGAATTAGATTTTGTGTCTAGATGCGTTATTTTGAATTAGCTTAATTCGAATTAACTATTTCGAAATAAGTTAATTTGAAGTAGCGCTGTAATGTAGAAATACCCTGAGACTGGTGGCCGTAAACAAACTTTATATGATCGCAGGAAACTTGGCTATGCCCATAAGTGGACATCCAGCTAACTAAAATTATGCTGGACTAGAGACGTTCAACCTGTACTTGAATTAAGTTGAATTGAAAATACTATTTTACTTTTTACTGTGCAAATATTTATAAGTTAGCACTGTACTCTTTGTAGTCTGTAATTCAAAATCAATATTTGAAAACTGAAAAAATCCAAATGGTATTCTCTTGTTTAAGAGAAGATTACTCACGATTAATTTTAAATTGCTTATCAGCCCTATTGACAGTGTTCAGTGAGTTGTATTATTGATTTTTTTTATTGGTATATGAATTTGTGGCAGGGAGTTGTAAGGTACCACAGACACAAAGAAGGGGCGTGTGTTCAAATATGTTTGGGAACCACTATTCTAAGGTGTAAGCTTTTCTAGTGGGGATTGTTTCTTTGTGTGTGTGCTTAGCCTCTAATATGCTCTGTTCATTACCAAAAACAGGCTATTAGAAATGTTGAGGGCATGGTATTAGAGAGAGCTTCCAAATTTTGTTTTGTAATTCTTATGAATGAGTTAGTTCTTTCTGACTTTGTCTCTTGTTTTGGACAGGTTTTACTGCTTCTGGGTAAAGTATGCAGACAATAAAGTGTGTAGTTGTTGGAGATGGTGCAGTGGGAAAGACCTGTCTTCTCATCAGCTACACCACAAATGCCTTTCCAGAGGAGTACATACCTACCGTGTTTGACAATTATAGTGCCCAGATGACAGTGGATAGTCGGACTGTTAGCCTAAATCTCTGGGACACTGCAGGCCAGGAGGAATATGACCGTCTGCGTACTCTCTCATATCCTCAAACAAATGTATTTGTTATCTGTTTTTCCATTGGGAGTCCCTCCTCTTATGCAAATGTTCGGCACAAATGGCATCCTGAAGTCTCTCACCACTGTCCTAATGTTCCAATTCTTTTAGTTGGCACCAAAAGCGACTTACGAAGTGATGTGGAAACAGTTAAAAAGCTGAAGGAGCAAAGCTTGGCTCCTACTACTCTACAACAGGGAACTTCACTGGCCAAACAGATTGGAGCAGTAAAATATTTGGAATGCTCAGCTCTGAACCAGGAGGGGGTTCGAGAAGTGTTTGCTGAAGCTGTGCGAGCAGTTTTGTACCCAGTGACAAAGAAGAACACAAAAAGGTGTGTCCTGTTGTAGTTTCCATAGATGATGGATGTTTGCAGTGAAAGAGAGACTGACAGGGATCTTGGCCGGCTCCTTTCCTTTTAAATCAAAGACTTGCATCTTGCACTAATAGCTCTAAACAGAAGAGGTTCATGCAAAGTGTATTCTTGCACTTTGGTAACTGCTTCAAGGAAACGGAGACAAACCAGTTCATTCCAGCCTAGTGAGAGAGCGATCAGCTATTTATCTGGCTTCTAAAGTACCAGTCTCCAACATCTCCAGGATTCACTTGGCTTCCATTCTGTTGTACAGAGGAGGAAGATGAGGGGACTTCTTCAAAGCCAAACTTTTCCTTTACTAGACAAACTTCAATTATTGGCCTTGCTGAAAGAGACAGAGATTGATAACTTTGCTTTAAATGTATTTCTGCTTCTTCTGGTCCTTACTGACTAATCAACTTGGTCTTCCAGAAGAGAGTCTGGCTTTCTAACTATTGCCTTAATTTGACAACGTGAAATTTGAAATCTGTTTGTCTAAATTTTTAAAAATGCCTTCCACATTGATGTGAAACTTGCTTTATATTGAAAAGTATGATTACTTGTATAATGAAAACCATTCATGTTTAGTGCAGTCACAGTGGTTCAAAGATAAGGAACTCCTGAAATTGTTTCTTAAATATTAAGCTCAGAAGCTGGCACCTCCTGCTATGGTGAATTCTAGATGACAGTAACTCAAATGATTGTGGCTGTTTAGGAGCAGAGGTCAGATGGTACCAAAAGGCGGGTCTGCAATAGTTCTCTTAGCTGCATTACAGTTTCTCCTCTGAAGAGGAGGCATTTTTAAATTGAGTTTAGTTACTGTTCTCTCTTCAAACTGCTCTGAGGTAATTGGGATGACATTCTCAAAGCAGTTTTCCTAGTATGACATGAATACAGGTAAATCTCCCTACCTATAGAAGGAATTCCAGAAAGTTTGGGAAGAGGCTGTTGCTTTTGAAGGATTAGTTCTCTTTTCCTACATAATTGGCCCCTGCATCATTGCATGAGACTTCATGGCAGATTATGTCTTAGAATTTGGTACGTCCTAGTATGTGGACCTTGGAACCATGTTTAACTGTGGTTCCACTTAAAATGTTTTTAATGGTTGGCCTAGGCAAGAGCATTTAAAAAATCTCCTCCCCAGACTAGCTGGACATACCTTATTATAAACTACTTTAGCTGAAGCTCTGTTTAAACACTTGAGTAACTGTTTCTACCCAATTGTGAATGGTTACTGGCTTTTATCTTTAGAATTCTATATGTACCCACCACACCTAGGGTGAGCAAAAAAAGCAGCAGTGTGAAACCTCCAAAGACTAGCCCCTGCAACTTGCTGATCTGAAATTGATGTGCCATGTAAGAGATTCAATATTAATGTAAGGATGCTGGGACTGGGTTTTGTGTACTGAAATTAATAGTCCCATTCCTTGCTTGGGAGACGTTGACTGTATTTGGGAACAGCCTATGCTAGTGGTTCAGATCTCAATTTCTTACAAGCATCTTACCTTTGCAAAAATGTGTTAGGGCTGCATTGGATGGAAGGAACCTTCTTTTTTTCATCATTGCGGCAAGATGCTTGCAGGTTGGTATCTGTAGGGCTATTAGGATTCAGATAAATGTTTAATTAGCCTTACCTTATGTGGTACTGACATTTCCTATCTGTGCCCTAATTTTCCTCCAGAGGATGTGCCTTTCTCTCTGGCTGATGTACTGATAACTTAGGTTAACTACAGTTCCATTATAACAGATGGCCTATATTATTTGACCAAATTACAAGCCACTGTTGACTCAAGTGTCAGCATGACTAGCTAATGGAACAATGTAGTGTATTGATCATGGTTCAAGTAAAAACCAAAATAACCATATGCTATGATGTTTCAGAAGCCCGGCGATACTGTCTTCTACATACCACTCTTTTTGTTCTTCACAAAGTGCTATGGACTAGAACCATTTGGAGAGCTCTTTACTGTCTTCACAGTACCTCATTAACAGAGACTGATTTCAAGGTGATATTTCTGTGTATTTTCTGCTAAGAGGAACAGGTAATCATGCTGTTCTGATGGTTCTTACTCTAGGGCTTGATCTCTGCAGGAATAAGTTTCAGGAGTGTGCAGATATAAACCTTTTTCTTTATTACAGTAATTGATATGTTAATCTCTAAATGATCATCTCTAAATTTGAGATGTTGCAAATTTCTGTTGTTAATCTATTTCAGTGTAAACTCTAGTGCAGAGTTTAGGTTCCTTTTTTTGCCTTGATTTTGTCCATTCTCAAGTTATAAGTGGAGACTTGACTTAGCTCCCTGATCATATGGTTGGATTTATTTCCAAATAAGATCAGAACATTCCAGCATTGAGGAGAACAGTTGAAACAATAGTATAAAAGTTTTATATTCAAGTGGATGGGAATGCAGATAGCTTGTGACAATTTAGTCTCTTCTGTACTATTCAGGTTTTTTATTCTTCTAGCAGACTAATCATTTAGTTTTTGTCTTTGAGAGAGTTCACTTATTTCCATCCTTCCTCCCAGTTGATTTGAACAGTTCAGGTGCACGCTGTCCAAAGAGTGCTCTGAGGTAGCCTTTTTTAGATGTGTACTTTTAGCACTCAAATGCCCTGTTCAATATACAAGGGCAGCTATTGATATGGAATTTAAACTGAAGGGCCTCAGTGCTCTGCTTCTGAGTGCCAAATTTGTGACCTGTATAATTCTTGGGTCTCCTTTCTCTAAGCAAAGGAGTTCTGAGTGAGTTAAAGTGGGAGGATAAGGAGAACTCTTTTAGAAGGCCCTAAAATCTGATTAAAATATGGTACTGAAACATACACTGGCAACTTGATTTTATACTTAAATGGAATTTGTATGCAACTAACGATTTAAAATGATTTTTTAAATTATACAGAATTAAATGGTAATAAAGCTTTCTTGATTTATTCTCTCATTTCATTTTCATATCACAATTGTTCTTAATCTTGTCTGGAAACCCTGAAATACAGCAAAACAAATTTTGAAAAAGTTAAGATTCTTAATTGTTCAGTCTAGTGTGGGTGATTGTAAACTCTGAATCTGATGTCTATTTACCTTACTACAAAGATGCAAGATAATTTCCATTAAAACCCTATTTACATATGTTAATAACTATGACAGATGGGGCTGCTAGCACTCCCTATTGAGGTTGACCATTCGCAGTTGGTTGTAGCCTTGCCAAACTGTAACCATTTTGGGTGACATTTTGCATGCCAGGTTTCTGCCTCAGGAGGATTAAAAAAAAAGTAGCCAAAACTGTTCAGCTGTTTTGAGAATGAGGCTGGAGTGGGGGTGTTGTGATGGTTTGCTTACATGAAAATATTCTGATGACCAGTGTCCCTGGGCTTTGGACCAGAGACTTGAGATTTGGCAAAGAGTGGATTTTGTGTCAATGTGCCCTTTGCCATTTTTGTGCAAATTGGCTTTTTTGGCCAAATTAGAAGTCTTTGAAAAATTGCAGTTTGCATATCTTCAGTCCAGAACTGATTTTTGTAGTTAAAATCTCTGAAGGTGCTGTCCTGACTGGGCATGTGGTATCCCGTCTCAGCTGCTGTGGCTGACCAGATTGTGCATGCCTGCAGTCTTAAAGGGCAGCCCTTACAGTAGGACTGGGCAAAATACAGCTTGTGGGCTGAATCCAGCCCACCAAACCCCCTGATCCGGCCCACAGAGGCAGTGGGGAGCCCCAGGTAGGCTCCCCTGCTTACCCTGCAGCCCCAAGTGCTGTGTAGAAAAAGCAGCTGCTGGGCTTCCTTTCTGTTTCAAAACTGGAGGGCGGGAGGAAGTTTCAGGAGCTGCTCCGCCCCCAGCACAATCCCATTGGCTGGTTTCTGGTCAGAAACTGGCCAAAGGGAGCTGCTTCTTGGCATAATAGGCAGCCAAGAAGAACCACACCCCTTCTCCTTGGCTCAGTTATTCACTGAAGCAGATGGCCAGGCAAGCTGGCTGGGAAATGTTTTAAGTTCTGCAAGGAGGCAGGCTGGTTTGCGTGCTGGTTGGTAAGTCTCCTGGCCACAACCATTCTCTGGCACCCCAGTCCCTCCCTGTCCCAACCCTCTCCCTCCCCCCGCACTCAACATACCCAAACCCTCTGTCCCCCTCTTGTGCCCAGACCTCCTCCCAAATCTGGCACCCCAATCTCCTGCATCAGATCACAATCCCCTTCTACCCTAGGTCACATCCCAATCCCCTGCCCTAGGTCACAATCGCCTGCTTCATCCCAACTCCGTCCCAGACTCCAGTCTCCCTCCTGCACCTTAATCCTACACTCTTCCATGATATTAATGGAGGTGGTGCAAAGTCCAGGATGGAATTGGGTGTAGAAGGGAACTTAGGGTAAGGGATTGGGGTGCAAGAGTAGGTCTGGGGTCTGGGAGGCAATTTAGGTGAAGGCAGGGGGTTGTGACCTGAGGCAAGGGATGAAGTGCAGGATCTGGGAGGGAGTATGAGTGCAGCCCCATTGGGTTGTACCTAGCAGCCCAGCTGCGGGGAGCCCAGCTGTCAGCCTTCCACTGGGACTCTGGTCCTGGAACATCCCTGGTCCTGCAGGGAGTCCCAGTTAACAGAGGTTCTTCGAGAGATGTCCCTGGGGTGCTACATAGTAGGTGTAGATGTGTCCCAGTGCCGATTTTTGATAGCAGTGCATTGGGGCTGTGCATTGCGCATGTGCGGCCACCCTCCCTTCAGTTCCTTTCTACCGTCCCTGGCTTCAGACGGACCTCCGCAGTGCTCCTCGTTCCTCAGCTGTTCTGAAGAGAATTTAGTTAGTTCTTTCCAAGTTCTTTTTCCTTGTAATTACTAGTGTTAGTGTTTTTTGTTTTTAAAAATCTCCACTTGCGTCAGCAGGCTCCCTTGGTCAAGGGACAACATTGCCGTGGCATGGGCTCACCCGGCTTTAAACACTGTGCAGACTGCAATCATGCTATGCCAGCCTCCGACGGCCACAAGAAGTGTGTTAAATGCCTCGGACACTCACATCAGGACTGCCCTCACCAAAACCATTCTGTGTTGTCTGATAAGAACAATAAAGACTTGACTCACTGGGGGAAAAAAGTGTGTGCCTCAGCCATGCTACAAATGAGAGCAGCTAACTATGCTGCACTCCTCAGCAAATATGACAAACAATTATGCAAAGTTCAACACCTTTATTGATGATAATTAAAAAGCACAACTTAAAGCGATTGTTGCAGCAGGCCAGGCAATATCATGAACAGCCCTGCAAGTAGCCTTGGACGCAGCTGATACGGCTACAAGAACAGCCACGGCAGTTGTCATGCGACGAACCTCATGGTTCAATTCATTGACCTTTCCTTGGCAAATCCAAACATCAGTTGAGGACCTGCCGTTCAAGGGTGAGAAGCTCTTCTCATCAAAAACCAACAATGTCCCCCACTCACTGAAGGACTCCAAGGCAACAGTATGCTCGCTGGGAATCCAGACACCTCAAACAAGACAGTACAGATATCAGCCTAACCAAAGACCAAGATACCCACAGTCTACATACCACTACCAAAGGCAAGACAACCCACCATATCAACAAAGTGGGCATAACAGACAACAATGGCGACAGTACCAAATCAGTACTTCCAGCCACCCATCCCAGCCAAATAAGCAAATTTTGAGACATTGGTCAAAAGACTGAAAACCACATTACCTCCTCCAGAGCTCCTAAATATGATCAAACCCTTTAATTATTGCCTGCTGCCATTTCTTGACAAGTAGCACGCCTTCACATCTGACAAGTGGGTGATACAGACAATCTCCTCGGGGTACACCATCCCTTTCTTTTCTCTCCCTCCCCCCACCCATCTAGTCCTTCTTTAGGGACTCCTCTCACGAGATCATACTGCAGCAAGAGGTGGATCACCTTCTGCAACTAGGAACCATAGAACCAGTTCTGCAGGAGTTCCATAGAACTGGCTTCTACTCCCATTATTTCCTCACAGAGGAAAAAACTGTTGGGTGGTGCCCAGTTCTTAACCTGAGGGTGCTAAATAAATTCATCAAAAGACAAAAATTCAAAATGGTCACACTGGCTGCCTTTATCCTCGCTCTGGAACTTGGCGATTGGTTTTTGTCTCTCGACCTACAAGATGCATACTTTCATGTGTCCATACGACCCACTCAAAGACGTTTTCTCCATTTTACCCTAGGTTTGCAACACTACCAATATACAAAATGCAGGACAATGTAGCACTTTAAAGACTAACAAGATGGTTTATTAGATGATGAGTTTTCGTGGGCCAGACCCACTTCCTCAGATCAAATAGTGGAAGAAAATAGTCACAACCATATATACCAAAGGATACAATTAAAAAAATGAACACATATGAAAAGGACAAATCACATTTCAGAACAGGAGGGGGATGCAGGGGGGGAGGAAGGAAGGTAAGTGTCTGTGAATTGATGATGTTAGAGGTGGGGAGAGTGGGATGTTTGTGAGTTAATGGTATTAGAGGTGATAATTGGGGAAACTGTCTTGGTAATGGGTGAGATAGTTCAAATGTTTGTTGAGTCCTTTTTGGAGAGTGTCGAATTTTAACATGAATGACAGTTCAGAGGATTCCCTTTCAAGTGCAGATGTAAAAGGTCTTTGTAGCAGAATGCAGGTGGTTAAGTCATTGAGAGAGTGTCCTCTAAACAGAGGCGACTGGTGTAGAGAAGCTGTTGCAGGGAGGTACTTGTCATGGGGTGGATAAGGCTCCAATGCCCCATGCTGGAGGCTTGTGACCTTGTCACACCTTACCTCAGAAAAGTCATAGAGAGGTCTTCCAGGCCGGCTAGAGTGGCAGTAGAGGCCAGCTAGGGGCCAGGAAAACCCTATAAAAGGAGCTACAGGACCAACATCACTCATTGCCTTTGGAGACCTCAAGTTGTCTACAGCAGGAGACTGGCTAGCTGCGAGAGCAGCAGCACCACAGATAGCTCTGAGTGGAGAGCTTATTGGAGACTGATGCTCTATGTTGGGACTCTGAGATAAAGCCCTGAGGTAAGGTCAAGGATGCTACCTCCAGGAGGGGAAGCTCTGGGTGCACCCTCTCTGCCAGAGTGGGGAACAGACTGAAGAGGGACATTACAGAGGGCACCAGAATGGGCTCCTAGTAGATGTGTACCCCAGAAGGGGTTTGTGTATTTTGCATACAGAGTCTGTGACTTGGACAGAGGGCTGAGTCACTGAAGAGGCTTCCAACAATAGGAGTGCTGGCACATGCACTTGGCCAGAGCAGGGTGCTCACAAGAGGAGCGGGCCACCCCCTTACAGTGCCATAAAAAGGGAAACCAAAAATCCAAAGACTCTTCAGCCATGGTGATTCAAAAAGCAGAGCCTAACAAGGTCTGGGGAAAGCTGAAGATGTACTGGAATAATCCTGGGACAGCCAGGGGACCCTCAAACATCAGGACCAGTTACAGCCTCAAAACCTTTCATCAGCTTGTTTGCTGGAGCATACATCCTACTACTACTACAATCCAGGCCCCAGTGCTCCTGTCTTCAGCAGTGGAGCTCAGGGCTTGTGCTGGGGTGTCTTAGTGCTGAGTGTCACGTCACTCCTCTCAATCTCCAGCCCCAGGAGAGAGGAGGCACCAACACTCAGGTGATAATTGGGGAAGCGATCTTGAAGCTGCCCCAGGAGAGAGGAGGCACCAACACTCAGGTCTTGTCGGGCCAGATTAATTTTTCTGGGGGGGTCTTTCCAGGCTCTGGGGTGGTGCCAAAAATAAGGGGCTCAGTGAGTGGGCAGGGGCTGCTGAGGAACAGGTTGGGGTCTGGGCAGGAAGGAGAGTGCAGGAAGGGAGTGGGGCCTGGGTAGACAGAGAATTGGGGCACCTACCTGGCTCAGCTCCTGAGGGGGCACAGTCAATTCCTCGCCACTGGGAGCAATGTGGGAGGGGAAATGCCTGCAGGGAGCTCGACCATGCAGCACTCAGAGCCTGAAGGCTGGACGTGAGGCTCAGGGCTCCCCTCCCCACTGCAGTGTGGGGTTGGCACTCCAGCCCTGATGCCCCCTGAAGCACCAGTGTAGGCTCGCTCCACTGTGGGAAGGGAGAAGCCCCAAGCCTTGCAGGCTGGATCAAATTTCCTGTCACAGTGGTGAAGCACTAGAATCATTGTCTGGGAGGTTGTGGAATCTCCAACAGTGGAGATACTGAAGCGCAGGTTGGACACACACCTGTCAGGGATGGTCTAGATGGGGCTTGGTCCTGCCGTGAGGGTAGGGGACTGGACTTGATGACCTCTTGAGGTCCCTTTTCCTTCGAAATAACCGTGTCTAGACAGCATTTCTCTTTTCGAAATAGGGTATTTCAAAATAGCGCCCAGACGCAATTATGCAAATGAAGCGCGGGAAATTCAAATCCGCGCTTCATTTGCAATTTCGCTCAGCTGCATTTGTCTTCCTCTCTCGAAAGAGGAATGCAGCGCAGACGTACCCTGAGAAGCCAAGGCCGGTCTCACCAGCCACCTCTATTTTGACATCACTCTTTGGGGGGGGGGCTCTGGGAGTTCATTTTGAGGAGAGCAGGGTTTTTCCTGTGTGAGGGCTGGGTGATACCTGCCCTTGCTCTGAAGGTGGGGGCAGAGGTGTGACTAGTATAAACTATTCTTTTGTGCGCCGGGATCTCTGCAAGCATGGGAGCCCAGTTACTGTGGGAATCTCTAGGGAGTTTAGTAACAGCAAAGCTCTTAGGCCCACATTCACAGAAGCATTAGGCCCCTAAATCTGGGATTGAGGCATTGGCATCTCAGTTTAGGCTCCACTGCAACCCACAAAACTCCCACTAATCCCCATTGGTGCCTAAACTCACTCAGCACCTACATTGTCAGTTTCTAACTGCCTAAGTTTCTACTTCGGGGCATGTGCACTGCTGCCCTGCCCTGGGTGTCTGGTCTCCTGCCTCCAACCTAAACTACAGAATTCTCCATGAACCTGGAGAAACTAGATGGTCGCCCCCTAGCTTGGGTATGAAAACCAGTCCATCGGGCCAGCCCAGAGGCTTCCTGCTAGATTAGAAGGAGAAGGTGACATTTCAACAGTGGTCAGAACAATGCCAAATACTTACCTAAACCAAGTTTTCCACCTGAACTTAAGAGTCCCCTGTTTATGTATCCAAAAAAATCACATCAAACCTTTTGGTCACAACATTGTACAGAGCTCATAGCATAGCCAGCTGATTAGCCATCATGACCCCTCAACCTCGCAGAGTCTCTGTTTCCCATGATAGAGTCCCCCATTGTGTCATGCCCTAGAGCCTCTGATCCTAGATATATGTGTTTACATGTAGCTATGTGGGGTGTTTTTCTGAAAGCTTGCTCTCCGACTGTGTCTAGACTACAGGCTTCTTGCACAAGAAGCTTTTTTCAGCAGAGATCCTCCGAAAAACTTCTTGTGAAAAAGAGCATCCACATTGCAAAAGCCCATCTGAAAAAAGCGATGCGCTTTTTTCAAAGAGAGCATCCAAACTGCCTGGACACTCTCGCATGTAAGCAGTGATTGCTATGGAGGGAATGGCCACCAGGGCACCTCTGCTTTTGTCCTCTTCCCTCTTCATCTGAAAAAACTCCCCTCCCTTGTCCCCATCCTCACATGCCTTTTTACAAAAGAGCTCTTTCGCCAAAAGGCTTCTTCCTCGTGGAGTGAGGATTACCAGTTGCGCAAAAAGCCCTTTGTTCTTTCGGTTTACTGTCGAAAAAATGCGCTTGCGGTGTGGACGTAACTCAAGTTTTGTCAGAAAAATGTCCGTTTTTTTTACAAAACTCTAGTATAGACGTAGCCAGAATTATTCTGGGGCAGTTCCATAGCTGTGTGCGCAGGAGATCAGGCAAGACTATTACAGGGATCCCTTCTGCACCTGGAATCCATGAATATTGAACACACATTGATTGCTTGTGCCCGGCTTGCACAGTGTCTGTGAGCCCCCCCTTTCATTATTGACCTGTACCCCCAACTTGTGGGTCATCTGCAAACTTTATCAATGATGGCTTTGCTATCTGCCATGTCATTAATAAATATATTAAATTGTGTAGGGCCAACCACTGACCTTTACAGGAGCCCACTGGAAACAAACCTGACGACTCCCCATTTATAATTTAATTCTGAGACCTATCAATCAGCCATCTTTTAGTCCGCTTAATGGGTGCCATCTTCCTATCATTCCAATTGTTCAATCAAAAGGTCAGGTGGTATATTATTACCTTTATTAAACTTGGAATCTTATTGAAGAAATATCTAATTAGTTTTGACAGGATTTATCTTCATAAACCCACATTGATTAGCATTAATTATACTGCTCTCCTTTATTTTTTTATTAATAAAGTCCTCTATCAGCTGCTGCCTTATCTTTTCTGGGATCAGTGTCAAGCTGACAGCCCATGATTACCCATGTTCTGTGGTTCGCCCTTTGGGCTACTGGCACAACATTGTGGTTTGGAATGTCCCTGGTGCTTCGGGACTTAATGACAATGAACATTAACAGTCCAGCAATCTCCTCGGCCAGCTTTTGTAAAAGACCTGGATGCTGATTTAAAAGTGGCAAACTTCAGTCACTCTTATGTCACTTCCTACCACGTGTACAGGAACCATCCCAATGTGGACAATGCCAGGGAGCCAGGTGAGCTGGACTCTCCGCAGGAGAGGCAATGTCTCTAGCAGCTTGACATTCAGACTCCAGGGAATTCAAACTTCTCATCTGGAGATGGTTCTGGGGACCCACATGCTCCTCTTTGAAAGACAGAGTCGTCAATAAATGTCATTTGCTTACTGCTCCTTCCTCCCCCTCCTCATCTTCCTCCTCTGACCAGCTCAAGCTGTCATCTGACTCCTCCCATTGTGCTCCTTGGAAGTCTTCAGTGTCCTCAGGACCCTTGGTGGTCTGCTCGTGTCTGGGCTGAGAGCTGCTCTGGGGATGCTCCAGTTTGGCCCACGTCATGGGGCTGGCTTTTCTCAGGGTGATCTCCACCTTTGTGGGCACCATGTTTACAAAGCTCTCCTGTACATCAATGACCTACAGAGAGAATGGAGCAGGCAGGTCAGAGTAAGTGTTCATCAGACATTTAGTATTTGCCATTGAGTGTGGAGCCCCAGCCATGCCTGAGAGAAGCAAGAAGACAGTGTAAGACATGGCAGGGCACGATAAAACCCAAGTCAGTTCGTGCCCCTAAGTCATTAACACCAGGATTCCTCCAAGATTTTCTGATGCTTCATTGTGGGGGACTGACCTCGTGAGCCTTGACTCATACACACGGGACAGGACGGCAGGTTACCAAGGGAGAGGGAAAGAAAAGCACAAGCAGCAAGTGGGATAAATGACCCGCGACACTTGAGCCTCTGCCTCAGCCAAGCCACATTTTTCTCAGTTGCTAGAAAGGAGGGATCACGGGTAAAGTCAGGGAGGGCAGTGACTGCATTGGTGTGATGAGCCCAACAAACTGGATTTCATTTACAGGCCTGGGGGCCATGAGAGAGACAGGAATCCCCCTTGGGAGCCCAAGGACGTAGCACACAGCTAAGGAGAGACATGCACAACGAGAGGAACGACAGAAACCGGCCAAAAAGCTCCAGGAGGGGTAGGAATGTTCCAAGGGAGGGAGTGTATTGCTTCTCCCTCTACCGATGGAGGATGTAGTGGGGCGGCAAGCAAGGAGCAAGAGCCAGACGTTAAAGAATGTTAGTAAACTCGGGGGGCTGGGCATGAAGAGCAGGAACTAGTGGGAGCTAGGGACAGGACTGGGGACCAATGCGTGTAGGGGGAGACAGGCTGGATGAAGAATGGGAGGGAATACTGGAATTGACTAGGGGGTAGGGAGAAGAGAAAGAGAGAACGTGGCTACTGAAATCAGATGAGGCACCTGGACTGGGAGGAAATGGGACTGGCAGGGCAAGGAGCTGGAAGGGGGATATACAGAGGGCCTTGCAGACGGGCAGTAAACTGTCATCTTCAACCCAAGGTGTAATGTCTCCAGATCACAGACCCATCTGCTGGCAACCAGTAAGTCCTTATTCAGCAGAATGCCCTCCCATTTCCACTCTGCCCGCTGGCCCAGCACAGGGTTAAAGTGAAGACAGCCTTAATGATTCCTCTCTGAGGCCTGGTCTACATGATGTGGGACAGTCGAAATGAGATACACAGCTCCAGACACGTAAATTACGTAGCTGGAGTCAACGTACCTTACATCACGTTTCCGCACCATCCACACTGCGGCTGGGGGGGGGGCTCCCATTTCCACTCTGCCCGCTGGCCCAGCACAGGGTTAAAGTGAAGACAGCCTTAATGATTCCTCTCTGAGGCCTGGTCTACATGATGTGGGACAGTCGAAATGAGATACACAGCTCCAGACACGTAAATTACGTAGCTGGAGTCAACGTACCTTACATCACGTTTCCGCACCATCCACACTGCGGCTGGGGGGGGGGGATGGGAGCAAACCCCCCCGCCGGCTTCCACTACTCCTTGTGAGGAGCAGGAGTACCAGTGCAGACGGGGGGCGCCCCATGAGTTTGATCTAGTGGATCTATACTAAACCTGCTCAATCAAACCCCAGCATCATCAATCTTCCGCATAGTGTAGACGTGCCCTGACAGAAAGAGAAGGAGGGTACCCTGGCAAGGGGGCACACTGAATCCCTAAGACAGGTAAGGGGGGCACCCAGAGTTCTTGGCATTGGGGGAGAATGGGAGACTATGCCATGGGGGAAAGAAAAGCTGGGGGATGTAGAGTTTCTGATACAAGCCAAAAGAGGAGGGAGACAGTCCTTGGCATGTGGTGAAGGGGCAAATGGGAGACACACAAAGCCCCAGATGTGAGAGAGGGTGCACTGCAGGGAGCCCTTGAGACACCGGAGGATGGAAGGCGGCCCACAGAAAACTTGGTGTCAGAAATGGAGGAATGCACAGAGCTCCTGATCTGTAGATTGTGATCATGCTCAGGCTACAGATACTGTCGTGTGTGTGGCTGTAAGCCGGTTAGGCCTTCTGGAGGGGTTCCTCTGCCTCTGGGTCAGAGGGCGGCCACCCCCCCCCTACAGTGACCCTCTAGCAAACTAGGTCAAAACAATGTAAGCGCAATGTTAAGACAGTAACGTAAAGCATTCAAAAGTTCAGAAATGCTAGAAATAAGTGCACCCTTAATGCCCCCCCCCCCCCCCTTGTGTGGAGACACCAGTCTCTAATTACCTGACCAGAGTGACCTAGACAGATTAGAGGATTGGGCCACAAGAAATCTGATGAGGTTCAACAAGGACAAGTGCAGAGTCCTGCACCTGGGATGGAAGAATCCCAAGCATTGGTACAGCCTGGGGACCGACTGGCTAAGTCACAGTTCTGCAGACAAGGCCCTGGGGGTTACAGCGGATGAGAAGCTGGATATGAGTCAACAGGGCGCCCTGGAGCTGCTGTTCTAGAAGAAGAATAAAGCAGGCTGATGGCAGCTGATGCTCCATAGACCTGCAAGGATTAAAAAGGCTCCTGCAGGACTGAGTTAGCAGGGAGAAGACACCAGTAGGGTGAAGCAATCAGCTGAATCCCACAAAGCCTGAGAAAAATGGGGCCACCTGAGAAACTACTGGCTAAGGCCCTACAGCTGGCTACACTGCAGCCCAGCCCAAGGTGGAGACCTGGGGGTTCTGCCATAAGGAAAGCCAAGGGACTGTTTGGCTGCAGAAGAGGGTGAGAACGGTCTCCTGCTCTGGGCCATTGTGCTGACCAGGACTCTTCTAGGGACACTGAGCAGGATGGCCCAGGGCAAGTCACCCCTACAACAAGTGCCTAAGGCAGCCCCCAGGAAGGGGTGCATGAGTGTGCAAGCAGGTCTGAAGGAATGCTTCCCTTGCTGTAGGGGGAAGGGGGCAGAGACGCTGGGGGTGTCCGTGTAAATAGAGTTGCTCCTGTCTTGCTTTGATTTGCGAGCTATGCAGCTGATGGAATGGGGCTTTGCCCGTTGTAATCAAGCTGGCTGATGATGTGAATTGTGAACTACAGCCACAATGCTTGTGGGAACACAGAAAGGAGGGACTGGGCTTGGCCAGTTTTGAAGGAGGGAGAAAGTGTCAGTTTGAAGAACTCGGATGGGCAAGGGCCTCACAATTCTGGGAGGGTAAGGGGAGAGCAGGACTTCCAGCCAGCAGGCTCAATGTCCTCAAGGTTCTGCTGCAAGACTGGGCCAAGCGGTTTCTCCCACTGGCCCAAGAACAGCAGTGAATAAGCTTCTCTAGGAGACTCCTCTGTTATTCAAAGTAGCTCTGCTGGAGCTGAAGCCACATGTGGCAGGACTGCACTTCTGCCCAGAGCTAACATCACTAGGAGATGGCCCAGCGGGGCAGCTGGCAGGGAAGCGAACAAGCAGCCAGCGGGGCAGTAAGATGCTTCTTTCCCTCCCCTCCACCCAGGCTGGGAGGTGAACGCTGGGTCTGCCCTGACCACAGGCAGCACC